TATAGAATCGTGCCTTCGTCGATGTCGTCCTCCGTACGTACGCACAAGTCACAGTCAAATATATCAATCAAAAATAAAATATCTTTTAAAAATTTGCTCAGCATTTTATATAAAAAAATTAAGCGATTTCCTGCAAATGTACTTTGACAAACGAGAGAGTGACAAAAAACCATAATAATTTTGTGGGCCGAGATGGTTTTTCAGTGGCCGTTGACAAGGGGTGGTTGTCGACATATAAAATAACGAACGTTTCTGCCCACAAACACATATGCTTATGTGGACAAATTGATTTTTTTTTTTTAGTTACAAAAATATGACAAAAAAAATAATTACAGATGTTGGTGTCATAACAATAACTTCCAGTTCGAGATTTTCTTTGTCTGTCTGTGCTAATAAATAGGAAGGAAAACAAAATTGTCAAAAAACAATTCTCGGGATTTTGTGTCTATTTCTGGTATATAAAGTCGGTGAAAATCTGACGAAACAGTTTGTCACAACCCCTCGTTTGTTGTCCTTTCCTCGCTCTCTGCCTACAGTTTACCAGACACTCTGTTTAACGATATATATAGTGCGTAGTACTCTCCTTACTCCGTTGCTTTTGAAAGTCATGAGTGTGTGTTTAATCCACCAGTACCTTTGCCCACTTGGAAAAAAAAAAACGTGGAGGTGCGGCCCGCCACGAAATGGCTGGTGGTGGCGGGCAGGTACATTAATGTAGAATCACTTTTTCGTCGCGCGTAGGGCAATTTCAGACCCGCGACCGATGTATGAGCCACGTATTGGCGGTTCAAAAACAAAACAAAAAAAAGAGCATCGCCACACCACTTATGAAATGTGAAAAAACCAAAAACGTAAGCGGGTGCATCTGGCACGGTATTGGGTGGGCTTGACAGAAAGATTTCCCATAGGATGTGGACATGATGCAAAGGGACAGACGTGGCCCGGGCACGGCATAGAGAATTTTTTCCCCCACTTCTGACAGGGGTCTGGTGAAAAGAGTCAAGACCCCAAGGGCACCGCAGGAAGTCCGACATTCCTCGTCCTCTCAGTACGTGGCTTTTTTAGGTTCTCATTCAGTTGGTGGCATAGCGCCATGAGATCCAACAATGGGTCTGGTTGCACTACTCTGCATACGCCAAGTTTGGCGAGTAGGCACCTGGTTGCACTTAGTCGCCAAACTTGGCGAATGAAAAATATGTTAGACTGCTCGCCATAAGGTCGACACAAGCTATGGCGAGCCACTGGATCCCTCGATCGACATTGAGCAGAATTTGCTGATGTTTGTAGGAGAGGGGATTTGAGGGGAGGCACAGGGATCTGTCCTGTTGGCATGGTCCCTGATGCTACCGACTGTCCCCTGGCCGGTATCGCCCACCTGCAGGTTAGGAGTAGCCCCCGCATGTTCTCTCATGAACACATTTATAGCTGCTACGGGGTTCCCGTATGCCTACAATTAGGAGTAGTGGTAGGTAGGTAGTGTGAGGTGAAATTGAGAGAAGAATATAACTTTTCTTTTTGTAAAAAAAAAAAAAAAACGTTTTAGCTACTTGTAGTGTTTTCGGTTTCCTCGCCTGTGCACGACGGTTTGTGGAGGGTGGTCCTTGGACCTCTCCACAAGAGTGACAAAACAACTTTCTGAAGAGTGCACGGCTTCACGAGTCGTGATCAGGCAGACAAAAAAACATAAACCACCAGTACTTGGCCCAACTATCGTCCGCGGGTTTGCCCGTTAACGCGGCGCAGCCTCAGGAGGTCGGCCGAGAGCAGCAACCAGTAGTTCAGCAAACACCGGGCTGAGCAACTTTCGGGATGACACTCACCAATACAAAAACGAAAAGAAAAAAAAAAGAAAAACAAATGAGAAAACTTAAAAAAAAAAAAAAAACGGTTCTCGACAAGGGCGCACTCAAAAGAGAGAGAGAGAGAGAGAGTATTGGCGAGCTGCACGGAGAGAGAGAGAGAGAGAGAGAGAGAGAGAGAGAGAGAGAGAGAGAGAGAGAGAGAG